GGAGCAGGATTTGGTCCAGGAGGAGCAGGAGTTGGCCCAGGTGGAGGTGGGTAACATGTATATAAATATACACAGCCACAGTATGAGACTGTTGTCTTTGTTTTTAAATCTATCAAGTATAAATATGAATTGAGCCTGTGTCTGCTAGATGAGCAGCAATGCTACATTTTAACTTTAGTCCTCACAAATTTCGGCCAGTTTTTCTTGTTTCAATATTCTATTGCAGTTTGAATATAAAAAGCTAAGGCACCCAGAGAACTTAATTGCTTGGCTGAAGGCGTAAGAATTACTTAGCAACTTACCAGTCGAGCTCCACAATACCGTATATATTGTCCAACACCTGAGTAGTTTTTTAATTGAAATGGTTGTGTAGTAAATATTTTTGTCAACCCATAAAACCTCTACCTGTTTTTGTTGTGCAACAAGCTGGTACAACTGGCGGAGGACCTGGAGTTAAGACTGGTGGCAAAGCATCTAAACAAGTTCCAGGTAAACTAGTCATCATTTATTGAAAACCTGTTCACACACCGTGAGTTAATTATTTAGTTTAGAATAATCCAATAAAGACTATTTGGGTTGCAAAAAATGTTTTCATCCACATGACTTACATGGTGTTTCATAATAAGTATGGTGGTTATTTAAGGTAAAGAATTCAGCTAAAAATCAAATTTATATTTATGCACTACATATTAGTATCAATTAGTTTTTGAGTATCAAGTTTTTTGACCACCCTACTCAAGACACTTTTTTTGTTTTTGAGATGTTCTAATTTTTAGCATCGTGTCACACAGGCATTGGGGTGCCTGGACTCTATCAAGGAGGATTCGTCCCTGGTCAAGGTGTGTTATTGGATTTCCAAAGCAAACAAATCGAAATGTGCTTTTGACAATAAAATGGTATATCATAGACAGACAGAGTTTTGTTTTTCTACGTATTCTTTTCAGGTTTTGGAGGCCGTGGTGTTCTTCCTGGAGTTGCTACAGGTTCTGGAGTTGGAGCTCAGAGTGGTATGTACACAGGTTCAGTATATAACTCAATTCTGACACACAAAGAAAAGCATCTATAAACACAGTGCGGTCCTATTTGTAATAGGATCAGGAGTACTCGGTCAAGGTGGCGCAGGACCAGGAGGAGCAGCTGGTATGTGCGACTGAATTAAAAAATCTACAAGTTCATACCAGAGCTAATGCTCATTATTAACCATTAGTGATGTATTTACTGCGCACATGATGAACACGTTTCTTGTCTTAGATGGCCGTGGACAACAGCTACCTGGAGTGTTCCGGGGTTACCCTCTTATATCACCAAAATCAGGTAGAGAAGAAACAATGACGTAGTTAACTTTGCAGCTGTATGTTGCAGTAAATTATTATATAAACAGATTTATTTATTTAACAGAATTATGTCTTGTTGGAAGTACAGTGAAAATGTATGTAATATTTATATTATTTAAATCATATTTATATCATAGGATCAGGAAAATCAAAGAAACCAGGAAAAGCTGCAGCTAAATATGGTAAGACAAATAAAGGTACCAACCGTATTACAAGAATCTAAAAGGTAAATATGTAAATTGAAATGTTTTTCTTCATTAAATTGTTCTGTTTTGTTTCCTACAGGTGGAGCTGGAGCTGGAGGAGGTGGTCTGGGTCAAGGAGGAACTTTAGGAGGTGGAAGGCTTCCTGGAGGGGGAGCAGGAGTCATACCTGGAGTAGGAAGTGGAACCGGAACAGGAGCTGGGCCTGGATTTGGAGGTGGAACCGGAACAGGAGC